ACTGATCTAGCTTCCTCCTCTTCTCTTATCATTTTAGTTACGCTTAAGTCATTCAGGACCCCTTAACGTTGTTCGCATATTTTATTTAGACACCTTAACTAGGACTATTACCTATTGAATACTTAGACTGTTCAAAATATGTACCTATTAAACACAAAATGCTGACATGACAAAAAAAGTGTTTTTCACTTCCTTTAGGCGTGTGAAAACTTTTGGAATATTGTTTTATTTTTACTTTTTCCAAAAAAAAACTTACATATTTTCTTCTTTAATTGACACTTGGCATTTAAATAAATTAAAATATTTTTTAATATTTTTAAAAATAGTAATTCTTAATCCAAAATAAAAGAAAGAGTACCCCTACCCTCTTCAAGTCATCTTCTTCCCCAAATTTAAATTTTCAAAGGCAACTAAAGAATCTCCATTTTTTATTTTATTTTTTTCTATTCTATTTCTTTTCAATATTCATTAAAAAAACTGAATCAAGTAACTGAAATTGCAAGAAAAATAATGAAAGCAGATTTTTGAACATTGGGATGAAAAAAGTTAGCCGACGTTCCATCTCCATTTCCAGTTCCAGTCACCTTCGAATAAATATCACAATTCAAATTAAATTGTAAACCCATTAAACTTATCAAAAACAATATCAAATAATTCCATAAAATTATTTTAGGTCCTCTTGATTTCTCCTTGCAATCAATTTCAAGATGATTAACTATTGACAAACTTCCTTTCTACATCACTCTTGTACCAACTCTTCGAATATCTTTCTCTATCACGTATTAGGAATGAAAAATATTTTTTGATAAAATTAATTTGGGTCCTCTCGATTTTTCTTTACAATCGATTTCGGTTGAGTAACCATTGACAAATTTCTTCATCACTATTGTATCAGTCTCTTCGAATATCTTTCTCTCTCACGTATTAGGAATAATTTTTTTAAAAAAAAACAACTAAATCTGCAAATAATTTGTAGTGAAGTTGGTTTTTGTGGTTTGAAGAAAAAAATTTGTGAAGAAGATGAAGAAGAAAGGGGGTTGGGTAGGGTGGGGTTGAGTAAAATGTGTTATCATTTTATTTATTTTTTAACTAAAAAATAGATATAAAATTTATTTGAAATAACTTTAATTCTTTTTAACATAAAAAAAAAATTATATAGTTATTGATGTCCAATGACATGTCATCTTTTAATTAGTCAATTTTGCCACATCATGTGTATCACACACACTTAACTTTTTTTTTACTGATTATCAAAAAAGGTCTAATAAGAAACAAATTTTGGATAGATAAAAGTGTTCATTAGGTTTTAATCTTGGTTGAGGTGTCTAAGTAAATTATGCGGACAAATTTAAGAGGCCGCAGATAACATATTATTTAGTTATCAAATTGTATGCTTTTATTGTTAATTATGTAGTTAATTAAGTTTCAAATTAAAGATTGTTTGGCAGTGCCACCACGTTACCGTGGAGGCGCGTCTACCAAAAACATGAGGCTGATGAAGCAAGCTCACATTTAGGTGGGGCCAGAAAAGTAGAATGGCAGGTTGAGTAAATTAGGTCATTTATAAGGTTTATTTAATGGAAAAAGAGATATATTTTGCCGGGCTTACTCTCAACCAACAGAGGTTGCCTGCCATTGTGCAGACAAAGAAAGAGACGGCTTAGATCCCCGTCATAACGTCGTCAAACTTAACAGTTTCCGTTCACTGTATTAATGGAAAATATATTTACCATTAAATTACAAGTTTGCTTTAGTGCGTTAAAGCGAGTTGCTTTTAATATGAAATAGTAATGAAAAACATCTCTACCTCTTTGTCATCGAAAAAATGAATGTTAAAACGACTCAAACAGAAATACATTTAATCATAACACATAAAAATATTCCTAGCTTTTAATTGTTCAATATTATTATTTATATTTTTAAACATGAAGATTTTGATAGGTAAAAAAAGGAGATGCACAATTTTTTTGTAAGAAAGTGGAAGAGATTGAAAATGGTGGGAATGAGAAGAGGTAAAAATAAATTGAAAATATATCATGGAGAGGTAATTAAATAGGATATGATGAAGTTGTAATTTATCAAAGACATAATCTAAATTAAGAGGGTGTGAAGATAACTGATTAGAGTAAAAAATCAATATGTAATTGCGCGTTGTCATATTCTTTAGGCGAGACTGTGCTTGATGGTAGTCTAGAGAACTCATGTCATTGTATTAGATTTATTCATATAGATTTTTACTTTTTATTATCTATTAGCAACGACAAACCTTAAACTTTTAATAAAAAGAAATATATCGAAATAAATATATAAAAAAGTCAAAGAGTATCATGAATATATATACACACACATTTTCTTTATCAAGCTACACATCGTAATTTTTTGACGAAGGAGTATCAATTGACACTTAAACTCCTTTAATACATGTAGGTTGTAGCATTGCCATTGCCTGTTATCATAATTCATATGATATTATTATTTCTCTCGTAGTTCTTTTTATTGTTTTTTGTTTTAGCTATATATTTTCTTTCTTATCATATTCTTTTACTCATAACTATTTTAATTTGATACACTTAAAATAAGAATCTTTTAAAAATAATTTTTTCACTTTTAAGGTAAGAGTATGATTGTGTTTCCTCTATCCTCTTTGGTCCCTAGTTGTTGTAAATGTAAAATAAAAACCAATTAAATTTCGTGTATATTAATTAATTAAGGCTGCTATGAATAGTGAGGGGTTTCGTTCGTAAATACTTAGCAGACGTTATGTGAGGACCACAGCACAGCACAGCACTGTTACAAGTCACGTTTTACTTAACTTAACTATGGTTAAAGTTGACTTTTCATGGTACAACTATTCTTCTTATTCCATTCATGGCAAAATAAATAGGTATCCCTCTGCTCTATAATTAGCATAGTTTAATGATATATTGTCCATCAAAATAAACTCTCTTCAGTTAAAATAATATTATTTGAATAAAAAATGGAACAATTATCGATTCAATTATAGAATTTATATGACGCATTATATGTAATATTTGTTTGTGCACATTTTATAAGTCCTACTATTATTTTATGTTATCTTTCTCCCATATTTCAGTTATGTTACAGAAAGAACTACTATAAACAAATATAGCTCATATTTTAATGAACTTTATTCGAAATTATATAATAACTTATTCGTTTTTTTATTCTTATTAACAGTTATTAGTACAAAAAAAAAAAGAAAGATGAATAACTACTTCTATTTTCTTATTTATATAAGTTCTAAAAGCAAATTAAAGGGATTACCTTTTGACATGTAAAATGAGAGTGATATTTTCCAAAAAGCTGAAAAGACAGTAGAGGACGGTAAGTGGCAAGATCGCAGATTTCTCTGATGTCACTTCACATTTTTTTTTTTTTATCGAAATAGAAAATACATGAAAAATAGTTTCTTCTTAAAATAGTAAGAAACTTTTTAACTTTTCTTTTGTGTGTAAATATTATTAGTTTTTATTTTTTCGCTTATTTAATTAAAATATCTATGAGAATAATAACATTTTTAATGAAAAATTTCAATATAAAAAATAGTGTGCGTTCTGTACCATAAACGATACATGAAGTGGTCGTTTGATAGAATGTATTGGGAAAAATAACGCATGCATTCTCTTTGTGTATTACTAGTACGTGACTTGGTTTTCTTTTCCAACCTATCAACTAATACTTCTCCCTCCGTCAGAGGCGAACCCACATGGTCATATGGGGTGCACGTGCACCCGTTAACTTTAGAAAAACTCATGTATAAATATATGTATATTTATCTTGAAAAACTGACAGAAACTAAATATCATTAATAGTACCCCATAATAAGTATGAAATTGTGCTTTGTATCAGTGGTACAAGCTAATAAATCCACCCGTTCAATCCAAGTATAACGTTTTTAAAAAGTTTTTTTAGCTTAATATTGGTGCACCTGGATTTTTCAAATCCTGGGTTCGCCTATGCCCTTCGTCCACTTTATTTAATTGTCATAATTTTCTTTTTTAGAGTCACACGATAAGTGACTCTAAGAACTTTGACCAATATTTTACTATGTATTTTTTCATTATATTGATAGGTAAAAAATTGCAATTTATAGTACTTTTCGTATTGTTTTTTTATATCTATTATTTTTTTGTTTAAAATATCAAATTAATGTAATCTAATTTAACTTTGAAAATTTGTCAAGTTGACTTTCAAAAAACGCAACACAACAATTAAAAGTAGACAGAGGTAGTACATTATACTCTATTGTGTGTATTATGAATACCATAAATTTCTAGATATTAGTTATGCAATAATTTTAATGCATGCATTAGAATGGTTAAAGACTCAATTGCCCATCAAAACCTTGTTTACATCTTTTCCACTATAATTGTGGAGGGTATATTAATAAATATTTTTTTATGCACTATTTTTAATTTATCAAATTAAATTATGCATAAAAATAAAAATAAAAATAAAAATAAATACAAGCATAACTGATGCAAATATTTTTAATAACTAGTATTATATTTAACACTATTCTTATATTGTCTATCAAATAATAGTATCGAGTGTGGTGATCAATGTAAAACTTATTTTTCGTATTTTTAGTAGGAGGAAAGTCATTTTCTTACTTTAAAAAAATAAGTTTTAAAAAGTTTTTGAACCAGAAAAACATTTTCGTCTCCTTCGAACAAACCCATAAAGTAAAAAATTTTCTCCAGGAGCTTATAGTAACTAAAAAAAAGAAAAGGTAGTTGCAATAAAAAATATAAAAAAAGTTACTAGTACGAAAAAGCTTAACTGGGGTTAAATTTTAACCTGAGCATGTGAAGGAAGCTTTTGATTTTGATTTCAGCTATATAGAGTAGAGGGAAGACGAAAAGATATACAGAGAGGGAAACGTAGATGGAGTAATAACGAAGCGGTTTTGGGTATTTGGTAAACGTTGATTATTCAGGTGATAAATTGTTGAGAGGGAAAAAGAAAAGAGCGGTTTTTGGAAATCCAAAAAGGTGGTATTGGTTACTGATTACAAGACTCAAAAAGGCAGAGAGTGGTTTTGTAACTGAAAAAAAAGCAAAGCTAGAAAAATATCAGTAGAAAGAGCACAAAAGCTGTTACAAACACTTATGTGTGTTTACATTTAGAGAGAGAAAGGTGCAGAAAATGGGTGATTATTAACTACAGTATTTTGTTTGCTAGCTAAAATGGATCTTTGCAAGTTTTTGGTTTGGATTTGTAATGATGATAATTGGGTATGTTGAAGTGCGTGAACACTGAGAAAGGTTTTTCTTCAAGCTTTGTTGTTACCGTCCATTATTTGTTGTTTTAGGTTCCTATATTCTATTCTACTGTGAAATTTTGGGTGATTTTTTTATTTTTTATTTTTTGGGGCCTTGTTGCTTGAAGGTCATAGAGGAGCTTCTGAGTTACATAGTCAGAATACAGGTGAAAATGAATTGCCGATTCTTTCTTCTTTCTTTTAAAGTTTTGTGGGTTTCAATGAAGTTTTGTTGTTTTCTGAGAAAGAGAGGTAGCAAAGCTTGACTCGGCATCTCTTTATGTTTGTTTCTCTTCTTCTTCTTTGTCTTTTTTATATTTTTCTGAAAATTTTCAACTGCTACTTTAAAGCTTTAGTTAATGCAATTTGCTGATCATTTCATAAATCATTAAATTCCTGATTTGGGATTAGTTCTGTTTTAATGAAAAATGCAGTTTAAATAGCTCTAGCTTCTGTTGAGTTCTGTAACAAGTACTGCTGAGTTCAATTTCTTTTTTCAGTCTCTGTGGCTTTGCTTCATTTCTTTGGCAAGTTGAAGATTTTTTTCAATTTTCTAATTATATGTCTTTTATGTGAGTTTGTTACATTTTCTATTTCTGGTTAATTTGTTTTTGAGTAGGTATGGAAAGTGAGGATTTGTATAGAGACCTCTGGAAAGCATGTGCAGGGCCTTTAGTTGATGTTCCTCGGGATGGAGAGCGAGTTTACTACTTTCCACAGGGTCACATAGAACAAGTATTTCTTTTCAACCCTCTTTTTTATGATGCTAAAGTTCCATTTTCGAAAAAAAATCTGAAATTTTGCTATGGTTGTGTATTAATTGATGCTTATATAGTTAGAGGCTTCGACAAATCAAGCTGTGAATCAACAAATTCCTCAGTTTAATCTTTCTTCTAAGATACTCTGCCACGTTGTTCACGTTCGGTTACTGGTATGTTCTTGATTCTAAATTCTAGCCTTTGTTTATTGAGTTTGTTGCCAATTCCCTGTTATGGTTAATCATTGATCATTCCCCTTCAATTGATAGGCGGAGACAGAGACCGATGAGGTCTATGCCCAGATCACATTGCACCCTGAGGCGGAGGTAACTATCTATAGTGATTGCTTTTAGTTTATCTGCATCTTTTCTTAAGCATCAGGCATATGATGCTAAATGAAGCATCAGTCTCCTCTAAGCCAACTTTCTGTTTAAAAGGGTTGAACAATTATTGGATGATTGCTGTTTAGATTCTTTAGTTTGACTAATTCTCGCGTTTCATCAACTTGATTTATTTCCTTGTAGCAAGAGGAGCCTTCTAAACCTGATCCATGCCCACCTGATCTGCCAAAACGAACGGTTCACTCGTTCTGTAAGATTTTAACAGCATCAGATACAAGCACCCATGGAGGATTTTCTGTTCTTCGGAAGCACGCTAATGAATGCCTCCCGCAACTGGTAGTTCTTTCACTTTGTTTTCACTTCTTTTTGTTTTTTCATGAGATGGATGAAGAAAATAGGCTTAAAAATTACAATACGTACTACTTATCTTTTCAATATCAGCAACTGTTGTCTAAGTTTCACTCATCTTGATGTTATATAACAAAATTGGCAGGAGAGAAGGTTCATTTCTCCTCTTCCCTGTCTTAGACTTGATTGCTTTTAGCAAATCTTTAGAGGGTTAGATGTTCTGACATTTTGGACTGATATGTGGCATCAACAGGACATGACTCAGGCGACTCCGACCCAAGATTTGGTTGCCAAAGATCTTCATGGGTATGAGTGGCGATTTAAGCATATCTTTAGAGGTAATTTTTGCTTGGTACAGTAAGAATTAACCAATGTTGGCACTTTGAGTTTTTGATGTTGAGAAACTCTCCCGGTATAATAAGTATTTTTAGTTGAATTTAGATTCTGGTCATGTATATTGTCTTGGTTCCTTAATCTACATAGCCACTTTTCAGGCCAACCTCGAAGACACTTGCTTACTACTGGATGGAGTACATTTGTAACATCCAAGAGATTGGTTGCTGGTGATGCTTTCGTATTCCTGAGGTGCTAACTCTCTTTTTTACTTGTTAGGAACTGCTGCTGGTTCATTTTCGATAAAATTAAATCATATTTTATTTTCCATGACATAGATGGTGACACATGTCTTAAATATTGCAGGGATGATAATGGAGAACTGCGTGTTGGGGTTAGACGTCTTGCTCGTCAGCAAAGCCCTATACCTCAATCTGTGATATCCAGCCAAAGTATGCATCTTGGAGTTCTTGCCACTGCATCTCATGCTATTACAACGCAGACTCGGTTTGTTGTGTATTATAAACCAAGGTCCTCTATCCTCTCGTAAAATGTTTACACTGTGCATGTTATATGACATCTTCCTAATTCTTTTGATACCATATGACATCAATCAGGACAAGCCAATTTATAGTTGGATTAAACAAGTATCTGGAGGCTGTGAGTCATGGGTTCTCAGTGGGTATGCGTTTCAGGATGAGGTTTGAAGGAGAAGATTCTCCTGAAAGAAGGTTCACAATTCATTTCCTTTTCTTGTGTTAATTTGAAGGTCATGCTGCTGTTGCAGCTTTTGATTTCTGTGGGTTTTAATTGTCAGGTTTACAGGAACTATAGTTGGAACTGGTGACATTTCCTCACAATGGTCAGAATCTAAATGGCGATCCTTGAAGGTGAAGAATATGTTTGGTTTCATAGATGGAAACGTTTGGCACATTCATTGTCTCGTTTTGATACTTGTTTAAGTTTTACTCTCTTCTAGATTCAATGGGATGAACCAGCATCCATGGTAAGGCCAGACAGGGTTTCACCATGGGAGATAGAGCCTTTTGTCGCTTCTACATGTGTAGATGTTGCACAACCAGGAATAAAGAGCAAAAGACCCCGTCCCCTTGATCTTCCCCGCACTGGTATATAGTTACTTCTGCACTCGTGTCTCACTTTTCCTGTCCCCTTCTACAATTTCAGTCATTGGAATCCAGCAATAAATGTTTTTTTGCAGAGATTGCAGTTGCCTCGGCTGCTTCTCCATTCTGGTGCCCTGGATCTGGTCCTACTCTTGAAGTGAGCCACTTAAGTGGTATTACGGATGTGCAAAGTCATGATAACCAACTATTCTGGTCCTCAAAGCAGAATAGCTGCCTCTCCAACAGCGTGAGCAACACTAGTTGTAGGACATATCTCAGTGGAGCTTGGCAGCATAGTATGCTTGCAAATGGTTCCCTCAATCTGCTCCGAGACTCTATTGAAGACAACAAGCAGCTGATCACACGATCAGCTCTGTTGGATTATGGCTCTCCGATGTCTTCAAAGGCAAGTAGTGGCCTCTTACATGACCAAGTGAATAGGGGTAATAAACGTGAGATCTCTTCTGGTTGTCGCTTATTTGGAATTGACTTGCGGAACAACTCTAATAATACGCCTACTAAGGCGAAAGAAATGCTTGGTCCCAACATTACATCCAACTGCGCTGATGAGGCACCCATTGTGCATGATGAGTCTGAAGTTGATAAGGACCAGAACGTTGAGCATCTGAATCCTTCAGATGAAAAGAAACAAGTCCAATTGGAGGCACTACCAAAGGATACACACAAACAAGGCCCCACTTCTTCAAGAACTCGTACTAAGGTACACAAGATAGTTTATGTTAGTTCTTTAGATTGTTGGAACCATTTGTTCACTTTACTTATCTGTAAGCATATTTATCCAAATTATAGGTGCAAATGCAAGGGGTTCGTGTTGGACGTGCAGTTGACTTGACTGCACTAAGTGGCTATGATGATCTCATCAGTGAGTTGGAGAAGATATTTGATATCAAGGGAGAGCTTTGCCCTCGAAACAAATGGGAAGTTGTGTACACGGATGATGAGGGTGATATGATGCTTGTGGGGGATGATCCATGGCTGTGAGTCTCTGCAACCGTTTTTATTTTCATTAGCTTTTTTCGTTGACTAGTTCTGATTTAATTTCTTGATTGCAGCGAGTTCTGCAACATGGTGAGGAGGATATTTATATATTCTAGCGAGGAAGTGAAGAAGATGACTCCTAGATGTAAGCTTCCTATCTTATCATTGGAAGGTGAAGGGACAATGCCGAGTGTAGATTCAGAGCTAAAGGCTGAAGGATGATGACTTGCACAAAATTGTTGATACAATGGCTTAAGGAATAGACATGTTTTTTTCTTTAATTTAATTTTCGCGTGTTTCTCTCCTCTGATAAGAAAAACTAGGAAGACTGGAGTTTGTGATTTGCTCCAAAGTAGAAGAGCAGTAAGGAAGTAGATTAATGTTAGATTTTACTAATGTTGTAGTTAAGAAACTTGGTGAAAGTTAGTTGTGGAAAATGTGAATACTTTTGTGGTTGTTGACAGCTTTTGGTGGGGTTTGTTTTGATCAGTCTGTGGAAAAAGCAAACAAAACTTAGACATGCTTGTTTCTTGATGGCAAACTATGGTTGTGCTATTTCTTTATAGCGCTGCGTGGAAAAGAGTGACAGTAACTGCAACATGACAGCTATGAATTTGTGGCCCCCCATTATCTTTTCAGGCTCTGCCTCAAGTCCGTACTATTTTAATTATTTGGCACATTACTACTGACTATATACTATATACTCCATAGAAGATTGATTTTTCAAGGCTAAATACATATGCACATGGTGCCCAGTAATGGTCCTTCTTTGCTCTGCATGTTATCCTCAACTAAGAAAAATTATACTTTTAGCCCTGTGGTCCTAAAAGCTTGGAATCTCATTTTATTCATGGTTTCTTTATAATATACGTAATTATATGGTGTTTGGTGGGATTACAAATGGCAACCCTTTAGGAGGTTTAATATTTGTGATCTAGTCTGTCTGTTTGTGAAGAAAGAAAATGTGCTCAAGTTTACTAGCTACTAGCTAGTGGTGTTGTCTTTTAGGATTCTTTCTAGCTAGTGGTGTTGTCTTTTAGGATTCTCTCTGGCAAAACTAAAAAGAGTTGTTTTTCGAAAGGAGATAAAAATAACAATATCTTTGTGACAAAGACGTGAAATATTTTCAGTTTGGGCAACGTCTTTTTCTCTATTTTCAAATCTTATGAGGTCGTCATCCCTTGTGCTACTCCAATTTTGCTTAGACTATTTGGACTGTCCTTTTGTTTTGGAGCTTATACTTGATGTAATTTGGAGTACCTTGGGAGCTGGATAATGGGCCTAGCATTGAATAGCAACAAAACAGTGCAATTAGCTATGACCCCTGCAAACTGGACTGCATGTGACTTGCCGTACTCTTCTTCTAGCTGTTGGACCCTACCTTGGCCCGGGTCGTTTTCAGAGTGGGCAGACTGTTATCTGAGTCTCTTTGGCCCGTAGAGCAAACCTTGAAGGGGCATGCCAATGAGAGCTTCTGCCCCCACATGCCACAACTAGGGCCGTTTGCAATTTCATCCCTCTTTTTTTCTTAGCTTGACACAAATGCAGACACTTGTCTCATCAAAACCTTGCTTGCATTACTACGCAGAAAGAAATTGTATGGTAGCTATTTCGATTGGCTTATTAGGTCAAGAGTTCACGTGCGGACTTGATTCTTTTTCATGGCCAAGCGCGTAGAAATTCTTTGTAATTTGGATGACTATGAGATTTGAACCCAAACCTCTATTAGCCCTAATACCATATTAAAGTGTATGACCATCTCATATAAAAATTTAATCTATTAGAGAGATGACACTTTTAGAAGTTACTTATATTTTCAACACATGTACTAGAATTGATCTAATTTGATCATGTTAAGGAACAACAACACATGTACTAGAATTGATCTAATTTGATCATGTTAAGGAACAAGTGTTTCTTCAGTCTTGCTGAATATATATATGATGATGTATTAGAAGTGTATGATTTCTTACATGTATCAAACTGAAATAGACCTTCATTATTGTTTTTCTTTTGTTTAGGAATCAAAGGACTTATCTCGGACTTTTTTTTTTTTAAAGCAAGTCCGCTAGACAAGGTGTGCCTAGGGCTAGTTTTATTAATTAAATGAAAAGATCTCAAAGAGAAGAGTACAAGCAAGGGGGGCTAGGTCTTACCTTACTAATCTTAATGAGGTAACAAACCTCTACTAATTAACAAGCATGAAGAAAATAAGAGCTAGAGAAAACTAGATATTTTATGATCATCATAGAGTTTATAATACACTCTGTGAGGATACTATAAATGAGGATGCTTAAATAATGCAAAAATATAAAATCTAAGAATAAAGCTAGGTTATCTACCTCAAACTTTATTTTATATATGTAAGAATTAAAAGAGATGGATTGCCCGTGTAAAGTAACTTGAAGTATGTCCCTCTTGTCTTCTTCATCAAATATTTCCAACAAAACTTGATAGTTCATCACTTCTTTTTGGATCGTGTTGTTGTTGAAACTGTTATATGATTTTGCTTTGCTAGTCGCATTGGTAGGTGCCTTGGAATAAATTCCTCAGTCACCTTACCATCCCAACTATGTAGCCTTTCATATGTCTTCTTTTTGTTTTTGTTGCTTCCACTTCTTTGTTGCCTAGGCGAGAGATCTCCATCCTTGGCTAGCTTATCAAAGAATATGTCTAACATATCATCCTCATCATCTTCATCAAACATTTCACTGCCCAAGTCACTATCATAAGTTGTAGTTGGACTACGTCTTGAAACTTCAGCTTCTGGCTCATGACTTATTTCCAATACCTTGGTGTTAATAGTCAAGATCTTTTTGGAGTTATCAATTGTCACTGCCATAGATGGATTTGCCTTACTTGAAGGCACATATATGGGTGCTTGAGGACTTAACTTACTCCTTGTAGGTGCATGTTCCTCTTCCTCAACTAAATCTGCCCATCTAGAATCACTTGTTTCCTTCACCAAACTCTTATCATTCCTTTTGGAATGTGGTATGATCATTGGGTTTTCTTTATTCAAAGTAGTTTCTGGATTAGAAACTTGAAGAATTGGACTGGACAAAGCATGGAGCTCTTGATCAGAATTGGTCATTAGGGCATCAAAGGTGTTAGAGAACACAATCTTCCTTGACACTTTATCTTCACAATTTATCGTTTGCTCCTTGCGTGGTGGGTTAGTGCAATCTAGTTGTTGTAGTTTGGTTGGAGAAAATGTTTTGCTTGGTACTTCAGTCCAGCCTTCCTTATCATTGTCCTTCAAAGTGAAGTCATGATCGCATGTACCACCATATTTGAAAATTTGATCCAAATTCTCTTCACACTGTTGCACCTTATTAGCCTGGCAAAAATCTTGAATCGAAGCCAAACTAGGATTTTTCCCAAATAAAACACCAGCAGTAGGTAGTTTAGGATTTGAAGCTAGATCAGACTCCAAATTAATCACGGGAACCATAGGATCACTAGTAACATCATCCTTTGCACTCAAAACCAAAGTATCATCTTGAACACAAGTATCAACTACTCGATCTCCATTATTTTTAATGGCTTCCACAATTGCCATTTCATTATTATTTGCATCTACAACTCTAGTATTATCATCAATCCTTTGATCTATGTTTGCTAGTCCCCTCTTCTCATTTAAAATTTGTCTCAAATCACCTTGAAATTTCTCCCCATTGAATTGTTCATCTCCAACAATTCCATTATCTTTGTGATTTTTATCTTGATTCTTTTTTAAAATCAATTGACAACTGTTTTCATCATGACCTTGATGCTTATAATGGTTACAATATAAAGGTAAATTATCATAAACAAATTCCTGAAAAACCTCTTGAATCTTACTTGTTTGCTCGTCCAAATACTGGAGACGCATCCTCTTAGGCAGCTTGTCCATAAGATCGAGTATCACCTTCACCCTAGCAGTGCTAGGCCTTGTCTTGTCTTGTGTTGCCTTGTCAATAACTATTGGCCTTCCAACCGTTGATGCCATCGACAACAAAGATCTCTTGGCAAATAAATCTGGTGATAATCGAGGCAACGAAATCCACACCGCAGCCATTAAAGTTTCTTCTTTAGAATTGAAATTTATTGTCCAAGGAAATACCCTATAAAGATGTTGCTCTCCACGGAAAGGTAAAAAGCTTACCGATTTTGATAGAGCAACCACATAATCTTCACATTGGTCTATCCTTAGCAGAATATGTCTACGAGCAAGTAAACCAACTAACCATTTCCTTTGATGCCCAAGTGTTTAGGTAAAACTGTTCGCAAATCCTTCACTTCTAGTGTATTGGATGAGAACTTAATAATTACAGCTTGATGTAATCCTTCTTCCTGTGCGAAAACCTGTCGTTCTCCCTTTGTGAATTGAATCGTAGGCTCTCCATGTACATATTGAATCTGTTTCAACTGAATTTTTGTCAAATTTTTGACATCTTGATTGTGATTAATCGAGTAGCAAAGGATGTTTGTTGATTAGGATTAGGGTTTGTCTCTCCCACAACCAAAGGCCGGGGAGAGATGTGCGCAGACATGGCTACTACTAAGTCTCCATCGCAATTGCTCAAGGTTTAGGTCGTCCGCAGAGATGTGCGCAACTATTTTGATTTATTGAACTATGTTTGTTATCACGTTCTTTGTATTTTATTTGTTTTCATCAAAAACATATAAAATGCATATTTCAAATAATTAACAACAACAATCGAAGTGCACAAATATCTGATTTTGGGAACCATCATTTAAGCCATACATATGGGGTCGTTTGGTAGGCCGCATTAAAATAAATAGTCTATGTATTATTAGTGACATTATTTAGTATTATGTTTGGTAGGAATTTGGGCCTGTGTATACCTCCTACATGGTAATATAGGGTGTATTACTAATACCTTCCATTTGGAGGTATTAGTAATACATTGAATATAATACCATGGGATAAGTCTATGCAAAGACAAAAATATCTCTCAAATCATTTTAATTATTTTCTTGATTTTATGTTTTATATTTGTACTAGTAAATTTATTTAAATAAATTAGATTACAAATTATTTAGAGAAAGTTGTTTGTTACTACATAAATCCAATACAAATTAATACAATATTTGAAATGTGAGTTGCTTAACATTAACTAATTAAAAGGGCAAATATATCAACGTCTTAATTGAATGTATAATTTTATTTTTATATATATGAACTAGACGAACTAGTTTATGCTTTAGAAGACCTTGATCTTTCAATACAACTTTGTATGACTCATAACGTACAAAGAAAAGCTAAAAGAATCAACACCCAAATATATTGCCTAGATACAAATGCAGCAACCCAAGGGAGATGTAATGATAGATCTTTTGATATGAATTCTTACTAGCAAATTTTTCTGCTAAGAGTTCATTAATGTACTTTTGACTTACTCTTTTGTCAAATTTTTATGTTTTTTCTATTAGATTTTGTAATTTTTCCAGGAATATTTTCTTT